GCACAAAGATTTATATATAATTTGCCCATATTATGCATTTTTTCTGTTTCGAGGAGAAATAAAAGCCCTATAATTTGATTTAAAAACAGAACTGCAATAGAATAATTCCAGTGAAAATCAGAGTTTAATTACCATTTTGCAATTGTTTATCTACATAGGCTTTATTCTCTATTTCTTTTTCTATTCACAACTGTGATAAATATTTATTCCTCTTATTTATTCTTTCCTTTCCTAAAGACCCAGATAGTCATTGCCAATTACCAATATTCATGACCTCTAGATTCTCCTCTAGGAAATAAAATCAGAAGACTGCTTTGTTCTGATATGATGTACAATTACACTACTTAGCATACCGCATGGAAAAATTATCTTTATCTTTGGCTTGCTTTTTCTCTCAGGGGATCATGCAGGAGAGGCTGACAGATCAATAAGATTTAATTATCATTAAAAGGCAGACAAGATTAATTTATCATGTATCTGTAATGAAATCAGTTTTCTGTGTACAGAACTGAATAAAGGGAATTTTACAATGTCACTAATACGTTGCATTACTTTAGCTTAAAGTTTCATCGCTTGACAGGTTTACTGGGTAAGATCAGCACTGAGCTCAAGATAACATTTTCACTAGTTTAAAATGAAAAGAGCCTTTTAAAGCTTGCTGGTTCATGAGTCCTTCTGAAGGCAAAATGGCTACCGAACAAGACATATGGCATTTGCTTTCATGGAAGCACTTAAGCATAACATGATGAGATGAATCCTGTATGCACATTCTTACTCACAGCTAAAGGTCCTTGAATATGCTAATTGGGACTGAATACTTGAGCAGTTATCCCCTATTGCTATTTTCTGCATATCTTCTCCTAATGTATCTCAGGCAGCCACTGTAGCCGTCTTGTTTGTAACTGGGTTATCCCTCCCCCTTTTAAATATATTTTTATTGGTTTATTTATTTTTCCTTTTACAAGACTGGGCATAATAGCAGTCTCGAGGAAGTGCTTACCTTGTTGCTTGCTGGAAATCATTTTGTTACTGCTGTAACATTAGATAGGTTTCTAAAGTGAAAATGGCCTGTAAACAGAACCCAGGACTTCAGTGCTCTATAGCCCATATCAGTGATTACATTAGTGAAAGCTAGAAGCTACTGCCACTGCTGTTGGTGTGGGATTTTTTTTTCTTGCAGAGCAATCAACAGTGGCAGGCGGCAGCGCTGCTGTCAAACGCTAAGGTTGCAATACAAGCTACACATCCCTAGCATTTTTTGAGGTATAAATGGGTACATGAAAGCTACTAAAGCACGCCTGATCATCATTACAATCAAATGCAGGGCTTTCAGTTAAACTTTACTGTCCAGAGGTTTTTAAGTGTCTCAGGCAAAGCCAGTCCAGAGAACCCTTCTTTTAGATACAGCATAACTGCTTGTCAGTGTGGCCTTCGAATTCAAGATATAATGTGCAAAGGCTGAGGCAGATTGCCCTTCCACTGAATGAGAGAGAGAGAGAGAAAGAAACAGAGATAAAGCTTTTTATGCACATAAAACTGGCCTTGGAAATGCAGCTTCCTATTGCAAATGAAAGAGTGCTTTTGCTGAGCAAATGTGGCATAGAATTGCTAAAGTAAACTGAGATCCAGAAATAGAATGGGTGACAGTTCAGTTCATGGTAATATTGTGTGATTAGGGTACTATGCTAATCCAGCTACCTAAAGAAAAACCTGCAATGTATGGATATTCAGAAACTTAAGTAAGCAATGATACTACTTCGGAAGGGCATAGATAAATGGAAGTACAGTAGGACCCCCCATATCTGCAGGATCGGGGTACCACAGCCTTATGTGCAGCACACAAGGGGCGGGCCTTGTTGTCCTTATCCTGCCCTTTTGTGGCCTTTGCCCCAGTTACGTGTATGTTGTACATAGGGTTCGCTATTATCTGTGGTTTCAGGCATTCGTGGTAGATCATGGAATGGATCCCCCACAGATTTGGGGTCCCAGTTTGTCAAAGATCAGTACAGCAGCAGAGAGTTTTCATATAGTCATTTATCATCCATTAACTGTTGCATAAGGTGGTAACTTACCGCTGTGAAAGCAGCTGTCATAAAGAATCAGATACCGAACTTCCTTTTCCCTGGACATCAGCTGATTCACAGTACTTTCCATGGAGGTTGTTTATGTGTTCAAGCGGTAGAATTTCAAGCAAGAAGTTTTAAATAAACTGACAGAACATGGACTGATAGACATACTGTTATGAACTCAGCCCAGAAACCAAGAGCTTATCAGAGTTTAACCAACAAACCATTCCTTTTGAACATGAAATAACCTGATGGCATTTATCCTATTCCATCTTGGTCTAATTCTCCAATTCCAGATTTCTTTGTTCTGCTTCTGAAGTAAAGAATCGTCCTTACCTTGTGATATCAAAAGAAGCATCTGTAACATAGACAGGTCACGAAATGAATAAATGAAGTTTTGTGTATCATCTGCATCCTTTAGGAGGAAGCATATATGGATGTGTTAACAAAGACCGTATATAAGCAAAGGGCACATGAGGACTTAGCTCTGTTTGGAGGACTCAGGAAGCAGCCCATGCTCATATTTACTACATACCTGTGAGTTGAGCAGAATTACAGGCTCAAAGCAAGCAAAGAACAAGCAGCAGTGTGATGATGAGTTAGTTGGTCACAACCTACAGTGAGAGAATATATTTGCAAGGGAATTTTTTTGCTTTCTCACTTTCACATTTTAGCAAGAGCATCAAGAATGTGAAAAATCCAGAAGCTGTGCTGTTTCAGTCATGCCTCATGTAATGCACAGACTGAGGACTGTCTCAATTCTGGTCTCTCAATTTTCCACCTTTAGAAGACTTACAGTATAACATTTTCACAGAAGGGTTATTGCTGTGTTAAGGGGGGAAAGGTTGATAGTAGGTTTGTGTGAGGGTTATATCATTGCTGATCTATTTTTCAGCATGTTGAACCTGTGGTGCTGCCTCTAAGGCACCCATAGCTGGGTCTGTAAAATTAGTGGGAACAATAATAGGTTATTAAAACAGATGAGACGGGGGAGCAGGCCATTGACTTCTTTTTCCCCTTCTGATCATGGCGGTTGGGGGGAATTTGAGTAAGAAAGCAGCTTCAGAAAGCAGCCCATGCTAATATTCACTACATGCCTGTGAGCTGAACACCATGACAGACTCAAAGCAAGCAGGGAACAGGCAGCAGTGTGATGTCGGGTTATTCTGGTCAGTGTAAGAGCAAAAGTCTTGCAAGCGGAGCAGGTGATGGGAGCAGTTCTCCTTGCTGGCCTCTCCATTAGTACTGGAGGGCATGACTACTTGTAGCAGACTATGGGCATTTCAATGTTTTCTGTTAGGTGAGATTGATGGAGAGTTCAATATGGAGTTGTTTGATTTTATATTTTATTATTGAACATGTTATAAAATTCTTTTTAGGTGGGTAAATGGCTACTGAAACCTTGGTTTGAAACAGAGTATATGCTACCAAATCAGAGGATCATGTTGCTGTCCAAGCAAATTGCAAATTTGATTGAGTTTATTTAATTTTGGCAAAGCAATGTTAGCACATCTCTCTAGCCTGTCTCACTGCCTTTGGGCAGGCTGGGATAAGAAGCTGTGGCCAGCACCTGGATTGTCCAGTGACAGATCTGATGGCTCAAAACTGCATCATGGTCTGTATACCATAGCTGTTGTAGCTGCATTTAACTCAGATTCAAACCCAAACTTCCTGACTTTTTATATCTTATCTCTTTGCCTACCTCCTCCTTTTGCCCAGATTGGTGCACTTGATGCAACACTCAGCCCTTAGAGGGATGCCTTCAAATCGGAATGTTGCCTGTAATTGTGGTGCAGCTGTCATTATCTTGTGCTTATCCTGTGCTTTTTTGAAAAAAAAAATCCATGGAAAGCAGTGAAGCAGAAGACAAGGGAGAGCAAGGAATCCAGAGACCTGACCTAATTTTGACTGCAAGCTTTGTGAAAGATTGGCGAGCATTTCTTGGATGAAAGGATTCATCATTGTTTACCATACTGAGGTCTTGTGCCTTACAGTGCAAGATTCGGTGGGCTTGTGTCCTTCATCTGCTATAGTTTATTCGAGAAGTGAAGCCCTGAGTTCATTTCAGGCTCTCACTTCTTTGTTGTTGTTGTTGTTGTTGTTGTTTAGTCGTTAAGTCACGTCCGACTCTTCGTGACCCCATGGTCCAGAGCATGCCGGGCTCTATTGTCTTCCACTGCCTCCCGGAGTTGGGTCAAATTCATGTTGGTAGCTTCAATGACATGCTCTCACTTCTACACAGAGTCAAATAATTAATCAGAAGCCAAAAATCATGGAAAGAGAAGACAGAAGTGAATTGGAGACTTTCCCCCTAACCACTGTTTTATATGAGTAGAACTCATCATGTAAAAAAGTGGTTAACATTAGCAAAGTATTGGATTCCCCTTTGAGTGCATAGCTGCTATAGGGAGATAGGAAATGTGGTTAACTCAACCCTGTCATTGCCTTTGTATACAAGTTTGTTAGCTGAATACAACTTTGTTACCTTTCTCTCAATGGAGGGAGCCAACACAGGTCATAGTGGTTTAAAGCAATGTAATCATGCATGGTTTAAAAAAATACAGAGGTCAAAATCTTGTTGCTTAAAGTAGTAAATTACCCTAGAGTAAGCCTATAGAATCAATGGAGATTTAGTGAGTCATCTCCTCCATACATTCCATTGATTCACTTGGGCCTACTGTAATTGCAACTTTCTATGCTACACTCAACAACAGGGCGTTGACCAGTGGGATATACTATTTAAAAACTATTACACAGAAACTGGTATCAAAACCTGCACTACAAATTTTGAAATACACGTGACAAATGGCCGCAAAAAGCCCTAAAATCTTTTGGTATAGCTCTGCTCAAGGAAAAAGAGGAGTGCAGCAACTGGTGTCTTATTCATGTAGACTTCTATAAATCTGATTGGTTGTTTTTTATCTTGGTTGCCAGGATCAGAAGACAGTGTGGCCCCTCTCCCAGTATCCTGGGGAGTTCCTGCACCCTGTGGTCTATGCATGTACAGCTGTCATGCTGCTGTGCCTTTTTGCTTCAATTATCACCTATATTGTGCATCACAGGTAAGAAGACAGATGCCATTTGTTAGCATTAACTTGCTTTCTTTTCCTTTGCATAAAAGGTGCCGTAAACCAGTGATTCTCAACATTTTGCCCACTAGCTTTTCTTTTTTGGGGGCACTTGATCTCCCAGAATTCTTGATCATTGGTTGGAGCTTCTGGGCACTGATGTCCAAAACAACTGGAAGAGCAACAATTGAGAACCACTGCTGTAAAGTACTCTCCCTCACTCACCACATCCACCCATCTAATGCTTGAATGCGTCAACACTATAGCAAAGGGTGTCCCACGGAGTATTCTGGGTAGTCTCAATTCATCTTTTCCCTATACCTGTGCTTCTTATATTGAGCAGGAGGGCGAGCAATAGGTTGCCTTTTTCCAGAAGAAGCAGAAGGCCTGGCCAGATGATTCTCTATCACGCTCTGGATATGTTTGCTTTTTAAAATCCTTTGCAGCAGCAGACTCTGGCTGCAGAACACCTCAGGTATAATTCAGTACAGTGGTGCCTCGCTTGACGACATTAATCCATTCCAGCGAAATCGCTGTACAGCGAAATTGTTGTCAAGCAGGGAAAAAACCTATTGAAACGCATTAGAAACCAGTTAATGTGTTCCAAAGGGCTAAATACCTAATCGTCCAGTGAAGATCCTCCATAGGCCGGCCATTTTTCTGGTGCCTGTACAGCGAAAATTAAGTCCTGAAAACAGTGGGGAGCCATTTTGCACAGTGGGCAGCCATTTTGAAACCTGACAAGCAGCTGTTTTCTGATCGTAAAGTGAAAAATCGGTTCCCGAAGCAGGGAACCAATCGCCGGATTTTTCCCATTAAAAAAGTGGATTCGTCATTTAACAAGGTAATCGTTAAGCGGGGCACCACTGTATTTCACAGAATAAGAAGTTACTGTGCAACTGGAAGCCATGAAGGCAGTTCTTTTTTCCCCCTTACTTCCTCTCTCACTTGCACATAAAGGTCCAGATGTTATGGGTAGTGGCAGGTGGAATAGGATTTATCATGGCAAACGCCTCCCGCTTTTCAGATGCCTAGAAATTTTCACCTGGCCAGAACTGGAGTTTTTTAAAATTAGAAACCTTGAGAGGCACCAAACAGAGCCAAATGCAAAATAGTACGTTAGGCAGTTTTGGCTTTGGTGGGTGGCTCCATTTTGGCAAGTGCGGGGGTCAGTTTGTCCCCTTCTGCCCATGCTTGTGGGCCTGCTACCTCTGCCCGTCAACACAATTGGCAGAACCACACCACTGAAACTCAGCAGTAGAATCATCCATCTCCCTATTATATTCAGCTTTCCCTTCCAGAAAGGGAAAGCAACACTCTGCCTGGCAGACTGGGCAGGCTTCGTGAAGTGGGTGGATGTTCTGACACCCTCAGGCACCATGAAGAACTCCTAGAGTTACTGGCAAAGTTACTTGCCAGCCACCATCAAATTTTAGTAGTAGCAAGAACTTGTTGGCTTCAGTGGTTCATTCAGTGCAGCACCTTGACCTTTGAAAGTTGCTCAGCCCCACTACCAAAAACTTAAAATAAAAACTTAAAATAAAATAAATCATCATCAGTTCCAGGCCTGAACCTCTGCATGAGAGACAGCAGGAGTAACAGTAACACTACAGGAGAGTGTCCAAAGAGTGGGGCAGAAATGCAGGAAACAAATATTGATTCTGTTGTTAATCAAGCTTAATGTAAAAAAAAACCACAATTGTTGTTCTGTAGGTAGTATATCTCTCTCTGGGTTTGTTTGCATAACAGCCTCTTAAAAGTTGGTTCAAGCTCTGTTTTGTTTACACATTCAAAAGGCTAATGGAATGCTTAAAAAAGAGAATGGAACAAAGCAGAGAGAGAGGTGGGGGGGAGCCTCTAGTTAAACAAAGCAATTGACTTGCATGTGAGTCTTCTCCTGATAAGTGATCATGCAGGTAATGAGCATAGCTATTCAAAGGGCAGTAGTATGCAATAAAAATGACCTAAGAAAAAGATGAGACCTAAACATCCCCCAATTGTGTAACACTTCTATTTATGAAAGCAAAGTAAGCTAGGAAAGAACCACAATTTTGGCTCCACTGTTTCTAAAATGACTTTCTATACCTTTCATCCTCCCACTCTCCCCCAAAGCAGCCCGGGGTTCATTTTTGAGATGTCCGTGATAATGATGTGACTTTGTCTTTCTGTTAACTTTCAACAGCACCATTCGAATCAGCAGGAAAGGCTGGCACATGCTTCTCAACTTCTGCTTCCATACTGCGCTCACGTTTGCTGTGTTCGCTGGTGGAATAAATCGTGTAAAATATCCAATTATCTGTCAAGCGGTGAGTGCCTGCATTGCAATTAGCATTTATTTTATAATGGAACAAAAGGTATGAATTGCACATATTAATGACCCTTTGTGCTCTTCATTTGGTTGGAGGCATTAATATGTTCTAAAAACTGTAAAACTAAACCACTATCTGAGAAATTTAAGTCTTATCACTGAAAGATCAGTGCAGTTAGGAGAGTGAATCTGGTTTGTGGGGGCATGAGAGACTCTTGAACAAGTTAACCGTAACTATGTTGACATAAAATCATAGGAGGTTGAATTTAAAAGAGGAGACCCATTAAGGCCCATTAGGGTTAATTCAGGACTAGTTAAGATCTAATGTTTGGGGGGTCTACTCAAAGTGAATCTTGACCTAGATCTAACTCACTTCAGTAGGGCTTGTCTAGATACAAGTATACTTAGCATTGTATCCCAGGTATATTAACTGCTTCCTGTGTTGTTGTTTCCCCTCCATATTTTCAGTGCAAGTTAATGTGTCCTCACTTTTGCTTTAGAAATACGTTGAGTGTATTTTTATTTTACCTTGAGATCTCGTACTAAGAGTGCTTTTGTTGAGTATTTCTAAGCCTTTTAAATTATCCTATCAGTACTCAATGGGTACTATTACTCAGTGCAATTGTAGGTATTTTGTTATAAAAATAGATTGTATCTTCAATTAATTGAGATAATAGAAGAGCCAGAGCTTTTCTTTCAGGTTTCAGACAGAATTCAAAATGAAGCTACATTTTAGTTTAGTGCTTTCTTTTGCTTTAAAAGTCAATTCATAACTGCAGTCTCTTATTCCTCCACTCTCCAAGCAGTTGTATTGGACTGGATCTAAACATCATCATACTTAGGGTTTAGCTGTGAAAATTAATAGGTCATGACTGGCTTTCATCCCATGATTTCAGTGAGTCTACTTTAAGGCTATAAACATGGTGGCGTACTCACTTCTGTTGCCAGCAGTTTAGACATTAATGGCTGTGTGTTGCGTTATTTTGAGGGGACAGCACATTTACACTGTTCTACAAGCTGTATACTCACTGCTTTACATCGTAGCCAAGAGTCATTTCTTCAGTGTTGTCACATGAAAAGATGTACTAAAATATTTATGAAATGTGAGGGGGTGTACTCACTTCTGTGATATACTGTAGAAAGATTTGTTTTCTCCCTTGGCCAACAAAATTATTATTATTATTATTTAAATTATTTATTTTATTTATATCCCGCCTATCTGGTCGGGTCAGGACCACTGGCAATGAAAACCAGGACAAGCGAAAGAAAGTATTGCTTTTGCTCAGTGCATAATTAACATATGGAATTCATTGCCACAAGATGTAATGGTGAGTAGATCGTTCTTCCATAAATTCCATGTTTAGGATTAACTTTCATGGTTAGATCTTCCATGAGTTTATATAATCCTACTTTAAAGCTAGCTATCTGTGAAAATTTTGTGGATTCTTTGGGCTCAGAGGTGACATCTCAGTAGATGGGAAGCAAAACAGGAGGAGAGCTATTGTCCTCATGCCCTGAGGCTTCTAGTTGTTGATTGTAAGAAGGAAGAAACTAGAGCAGATGGATATGTCGTCTGCTCCAGAAGGACTTCCTACACATGAGCTTACATTGAGTAGAATTGTTTTGCAGAAATACAGCATGCACTATTGACAATGACTGTGTGGGCGATCTTTCATTAATTCCTTTAATTTGTGGCAGATATGGTTTTATATAATCTAACTACAACGTTAGTATACAATGTCTTATAGCTCTTATTTTGTTGACTCAGAAAGGAACTGCATTTTTATTGTTGTTGCTGTTTACTTATGAAACAATTCAGTCATATCTGCTAAAACCAACCTTCACTTCTCTACATTTTCACCCAACATAGTGGTAATGATATTTGCTTGTTTCTAGCCTTGTGACATTTCACTTGTTCACAAGTATAAGATAGGACTCTGAAATAATATGTGCCCAGTCATTCAACATCCTGAGATATATTTCATTTAGCTTTGCATACTTTAACTCATTTGAAACGGTTAAACAATCTCTAACTACGGTATATCCTTACTAGAGATGGGCAAGAAACACCAGATCAGCAGTTAGTGCTGGTTCATCCTTTGGATGAATAGGTGTTCAGTGGTTTCCAGCCCCACCTTCTCTGGCAGGCATTTACTTAGAGCCGCTGTCCCATCTTCCCTGTCTCCTCTGGGCACTGCCTCTGAGAGGGACCCACCGGAGGAGGCAGGCCTGGGAAATGTCAAACATTTGTTCATCCAAAAGACAAACTAGCTTAAAACTGCCAAAGTGGCAATTCCAACTCTAATCCTGACCTATCATGGACCTCAGATCTTTTCATATATTATTTGCTGAATTTTTTCCAGGTCAAACAAAATTGTCCTTGCTACCTTATCTCAGGCACCTGTTTAATTTTTCACCCTCTTCATAAAGGAGCAGGCCTACCCTTCATTGTTCTTCTCCTTGTTCCACTTACAGTGAAGCATGTCATTTTTGTTTTGTTATTCATCCCTTGCAAGCTGCATCTCACTTTAGAACTTGAGACATATAAAATTATGAAAGGGGTGGATAAAGTGGATAGAGGAAAGCTCTTTTCCCTCTCACACAATACCAGAACCAGGGGACATCCACTCAAACAGTGTTGGGAGATGAGAACAGACAAAAGAAAATATTTCTTTATCCAGTGTGTTGTTAGTCTGTGGAACTCTTTGCCACAGGATGTGGTGATGGCATCTGGCCTAGATGCCTTTAAAAGGGGATTGGACAGATTTCTGGAGGGAAGGTCCATCGCAGGTTACAAGCCATGATGGGGATGAAGACACTTCAAAATGCCACATGCAGGGGAGGAGTATTAGGAGACAGGTATCTAGTTGACTCGTGTGCTCTCAGAGGCATCTGGTAGGGCCACTGTGAGATACAGGAAGCTGGACTAGATGGGTCCTTGGCCTGATCCAGCAGGGCTCTTTTTACATTCTTATGAGTCGCCTTGAAACCATCCTCACAGGTTTTAGCAACTCTTGTGATAACTCAGCATCTTTGATTATTGCAATCAAAGAATAGAAGAAAGATTAAAAGATTGTGCATGTAACATACTCCAATTGAGCTGGATATGTACACCAGAAGGAATCACAGGAGAGAGTAAATAGAAACTCGAGCAAAGACAGTTGGTCCCCTCAGAATAGGAGAAAGAAATGTGGAAAGAGGAAACTGGACAACACAAAAGATGAGAGACTGAGATTTTGGATACGGGTCTGGAGAAGATTAACTGGAAAGGCGATTAGATATGGCATACTTGGATATGGTCCCTCCCTAGTTGAAGCCCTGAAAACAGCAGAGAGCAAAAATCATGACGTGCTTTCTTCTGCACCTGTACCGTCTCCTAAGCCAAAGCCAAGATCAATCTCCCTGTCTTCTCCTCCAGTGGAATAGTCTCCTTCAGTGCCAAGGTGGGTTGCGGCTACTCGGGAACTACAGCAGCAATGGGATCATGTATTGACCCGACGACTAAACTGAAAGGCCTTTCAGTGCTTAGAGTGGGAGAATCAGAGAATGAACAAATAGGAGTGCCCTGACCAGAGTGGCCCCTGTGATTTTAAGTGGGCTTTCCTTATGCCATTACAAGCACAACATATAGGGAGACAATGCATATTTATGAAACAGGGGACACCAGGGGACAAACTGTCATTCACTCTTGTAGATTCAAAAACAGAATGCTCATTCATAAAAGAAGACCCAGGAGGTGTTCCAGTGAGTGACAATCACACTTTAAGCTGGTTTTGCAAGGAGTGAAACCCAGATGACAAGCTCAGCATTTGACATGTACTGGGGAAACTGTGCCAATTAAAACAAAAATTGATACTCTGGTATGACCTACTGTGGCTCAAGCTACCATTATAGAAATCAATCTCTAAAGGTGGGAGGACCTGGTGATTGATAGAATTGATGAATGGCTTTGGAAGGTGGTTTCTGTGTTGGGCACAGTGATTCCACATTCTTTGACTACTTACTGCTCCTGACGTGAGTGTGCAGCACAATTACCTGACAATGAGTGGACCAGGAGGCACAAAGGAGTTCATGACAAAAAATAAATCACAGTGTGGGAAAATAGGTGCTTGTGTGGAAAACACTGGGGATTTTGTCCCTCCCTCAATACAGGATTGATGCCCACCTGAAGCCATTCTCTTTTTGGGGAAAAAATTGATTGATGACTTGGAGTTGTCAAGCAGTGTCAGAGCCCCTGTAACAGCCCAATTTGGCCTTTTTTGAAAAGTGACATGACCAGGCAGTGTCTTTATGCGGATCTGAGGCCAGTTAATAAGACTGCCCAACACATGGCACTTCTTGTGGCACAGATGCCAGAAATCAAAGATGATATACAAGTGGGAGCTATTTTTTTTACTCTGTAGTTGCCATCTCAAATGGCTTCTTTGCCATACCATTAGCCTCACAAAGCCAGCCAAAGTTTGCCTTCTCATTCTATAACATCTCTGTAGTCCTCTGTGGTTTTTTTCTCCTATACATGGCCTTTTAACATCTCAAATCATCAGATAGTCCCTGGGATTTCTTTGGTCCCTCTTGCTTCTCATTGGAAGAGTTTAAAGTGATGTCTTCAGTACTTCACTTTTCAGAATTTCTCATTCCTCTTGAACTTCCTCCTCCTTCGGAATGTCTAGCCATGAAGTCTTGCCAGCTTTTCTTTGAGCTGTTTGAAACTGGCTTTCCTAAAATCCAGGATTCTCACCCAGCTATGTTCGTTTTTTACATCTCTTGCTATCATGAATTACAAGATGACACAGTCACTTTCCCCCAAGGTTCCCGTCACTTTCACTTCATCAATCAATTCTTCCCTGTTAGTTGGGATTACATCCAGGACAGCAATCTTATTCTTTCTTCCACCTTCTGATACAGAAAGGCATTGGTCGTGCAAATCAAGAATTTATTGTAAATTTCATTCTTAGCAGAATTAGACTTCTAGTAGGTGTCTGGATGGGGGCAATCCAT